CCCCTGCAACCGCATCCTAGATGCAGCTAAATGACTCAGGCCCTTCACATTTTTGAGTCATTCAGTCATGCATTTTTGTTATTGTTGAAAGTAGTGTGAAACGGCACGGCTCGGGTGCAGGTCTTTGGTGGTCTCTCAAAGGCCCCGGCTAAAAATCCCCCAGCACGTCCTTTGTTCCTTGGGAGAATGCAGCCCGGTTAGCCATTCAAGGCAGAAAATAAAGCGCCAGCCTTTGCCGAGATGAGGAGTGAGACAAACAACTGGGGGGACGGGGGACGGGGACTGTTTCTGGGAAGGAGGGCAGCCTCTCCAACATTTTAAAGACGAGGGCAACTCTGCTTGCCAGAAAAACTTAGCTGCGAAAATGAGATGCGAGGAATGTCTTGGGAGCCCCCAAAGGACCGAAGTTCAGGGGGAGGCTAGACAAGAGCTGGCCCACAGAAGACCCCTTGAGTATCAACAAACCCACGCTCTGCACGCCCCCTCCCCTGCTGGCAAACGTTTTGCTGCCCCCAGCTACTTCCCCCAGCCAGGCCGTGCAAGCCCCAGAATGCCAGGCGGTGTCCACGTGGGGACAGAACAGCAGCGTCTTCCAGAGCCTACATGCCCACCAGGGCTCTGAACACGGAGGGGTCATCCCGCGGGGCCTGACACGGTGTGCAGTGGCTGCCATCCCTCCGACCCTAGTTCTAGGAATCCGCCTGACTGGGAGGATGAAGAAAAAAATGATGCGCGCATGCACGCCCCCCCCCCAGGGTCATTGAGCTAGGAGGGAGAGATGGAGTGGTGGAACTGGAAGGACCAGTCAAGTTTCCATGAGGCTCACGCTAAATCCTATGCACGCTCATCAAGAGATAAAACGCTCCCAGAAATCAGTGGAATTTGAAAGTCAGACAATCTGCTGCGTTAGACACTGATTTCTTTCTTTTTGAAGGCGTCCAAGCAAGGCAAGGTCCCTGGGCCGCTTTAAAAAACGAACAAACACCAACACCCACAAGTAAAATTGCCAATAAAAGCGTTTACGTGAAATGCCCCCACGCCCCACACATCTGCCTCGGAAGGGGCAGAAATAAAGCTAGCGATAAAATGCTACGGCAGCATAAAAGTTAAGACATTAAGGTATTAGTAAGCGAAAAGGGAAAATAAAAACGTCTTTGCTCAAGATGAGCAAAATAATAAAGGAGACTCCAGGCAGTTGAGACTTGCTGGGGAGGGAAGTCCAGGCTGAGGGGGGAGGCAGAGGGAGGGAGGATAACCCAAAGGCTGGCCTACTCTGCAGCCTGTTGAAAGGATGCCCAGCAAGCCTCCGGTGCCCTCCAAAGAGAGGGCCTTTCTAAGCTCATGAAGGAGCGGCTCCTCTAGCAAGGTGGCACGGGGTTCCCCACCACCCCCACTATGGCCGGGAAACAGCCCCCTTTCTGAAGCTGGCAAGGCCAAACACGCTGATCAGACCCGCGGATTGGGCTCAGACAATCTGCTAAGCTGTGGTTTTCTTTCGTCATCATCAGCGACAGAACACACCTTTGTGGCAGGGCTCGTACAACACGCTAAGCCTGAAAGCAAATCCACGCAGGTGGGAGACGGGTCCGGTCGTCCAAGCCAGGACTTTGCATGAAGACATCATGTGCATGGCCCCGCTTTGCATGGGACATCACGATGGGCATGACCTCACTCTGCACGCATCCCTGCAAACAGAGCAGTCTACGGCTTTGGGTGTGATGCGGCCCAAGGGGAGGTCCGAGCCAGGCCAGATGTTTCGAGGGGGACTCACAACCGTGGGGAAGCCCCTGATCTTTGGCTGCGGCCACTGGGAGTGAGTAAACCGCCCAACCCGGGGGGGGGCGTTCAGAAGACCGCAGCGGGCCCCTCCAGTGGGCACACGCAGGCAGCAACTCTGCTGGCCCTGAGGTTGCA